TATACTCTATAGCCGAAAATGCCCATATAGAAGTTGCTATATAATCTTTGAATAAATTCTATAACCAGTCCAACTTATAATAAGAACCCCTACAGCTACAGACATGTGCTTGTGCCTCACTTTGCGACACTCCTAAGTAATCAACAACAACCTCTTTAGCGACATATTGAGGGCTCTAGAACACTCTATTGATGGGAAAGTGAAACAGACAAAAGACTTCGTCCAGTGTAATGCTCATCTCACCAAACAACATGTGAAATGAAAATGTCTATAGATACTATCTCTCTACAAATGTGGATACCAGGTTTGTGTCTATCTTCGTCAAACTGGTTCTTTTAAGTGAAGATTTACCAGACCTAGAAATCCAAGTCACCATCTGTTGTGTAAGAGCTTGTGGAATCCTCACTCTAAGCTTCAACCTATGTCCAACAATCTTCAACTCTTTATTCTGACCTTTCTCCCCAAAACAATAAAAAGTACACATATTATAAAACACAACATTAACAATTAAAATATTATTGAATATAAAATAAATGTCATTTACTTACCTCACCAAACCATAAATGTCGAGCAACATAATGCTCGTACTTTACCAAAAGAGACGTATCGCATGACTCTCCTAGAAAGCCAATCGGTTGTGCTGTGAATGTAGATGCACCAATATGTTGTTCCTCACCAGCCAACGTCAATAGAAAACCCCATCCTAAACCACGATATGGAATCTTACTGTCATTGGCTCGTGTTCGCGCCATAGTAAAAAAAAGTTTAAAAAATAAAAAAAAGTATGAATCAAAACACATTTTAAAAGAAATCCAATGAGAAAAAATTCAAAAAATCGGAACACTTTTGAGAAGACTTCCGGTCAAAATAAGGCCAAATCGGAAGATAACTAAATGAGTTTTGGTGTGTATAGTGAAAACCGAAAGAATTTTGCAATGAGTTCTGGTGAACTTGTGAAAACCGAAACACTGAATTTGTTCTAGTATGAAAAATATGAATGAGAAGACTTGAAAAATAAGTTTTGGTTTGCAACGAGAAAATGTGTGTTTTTCGGATGACTTTGAGCGATAATGATGTGAAAATGGAAATTTCTAAAATATAACTTATTTATATGAAGGCAATTTGCTCTAAAAACTGGTAATGCATGGGTAATGGGATAATTGGGTATGAGGTAACATTTTCCTTAGAGTGAGAAAACTAATTCCCATTTTTTCGAGAATTTAACCTGCCACTCCCCAAATTATACCTGACACTACCCCAAACTTTCATATTTTCAAAAATGCCCCTGCATGAAAAATACACCAAAATTTTGTATGAATTTTTCGGTAGTGTATTTGAAATTTCCGGTATACCAGAAATTTTGGAATTTTCTATATACCAGAAATTTTCGAATTTCTGTTAAGTTGCAAACAGTTCCGGAAATTTGAAATTTACACGTTGATACTAGAAATTTCAACCTAAGTGAAATTTCCATCAGTATCATTTGTTTAGTCTTTTGGATGATCAAGATTTTACAGACAATTTTGGATGGTTGTGATTGCACCGACAGTTTGTGTGATCCAGAATAAAAACAAAATTGTATAAATATGGGTCACATGTTGTTTGATAAACACATCTCAGAAAATGTATTTTCCTCAATTTTTGAATAAGGTTAAAGTGTACTTCAACAAAACTTCTCCTTCTATAGTGTTTCGGCTTCCGGATGGCACCACATCTCTTGCCAGCCTAACGTCGAAGTTGAATGAATTGTTGCCTGATGCCGAAAACAGAAAGGTGAGAAAGATCGAGTTTTGTGAAGATTGGGTTGATACTAACGAGAGGGTAAAATACAACCTTATTAAGTTGAAGACCAACAAAGATGTGATGGAAATGTGGAGATCATTTCGACGTAGGATAACAAAGGGGCCGATTGAGTTAGATGCTAAACTTTCAAGATCTGTTGATGACATAATGGAGATGCTGAAACGTCCAGAAGCATCAGGTAGTATTTAGGTTTTTCTTATTTATTAATCATATTGTAGTGTTAAGTTTTTTCTATTTAATTTATTTAATCCATTGTCAAATGTTAGCTAATATTCATGTTGCAATTTAAGAAAGATCAATAATATTAGCAAATAAAGAGTTATGATGAAGATGTCTGAATAATATACAAATGATACAAATAACACACAAGATATATAAATAGACCCCCCAGACTATGTGTGCCGTCTGAGATAATATGGTATAAACCGCGTCATATGAGTTTACCAAACTCATGAGGTTATCCATAATAACTGCAATTATCTATAGGCGCTGCTGGTCATCGGTGTGATTTGCTGGAGGAGGCAGCGACATGTCATTAACAGGTACCCTGTCATCAGAAGGCCTAACATCAGTTGTAGGTTAGGTGATGCGAGAGTGTGATATAGTGAGGTACCATTCTAAGTAACCATCCTCACACTACGAGGGGTGTTGAAGAGTGACTGCTCAATCTCTAATGGCACGACCAAAGCTGATGAAGTTACTCTAGAACTACCAATCAATAGCTAAATAGGGTATATTTGGAACCGGGCATAGGATACTTTGAACATAACCATACTATGGCAAACACCTCTCAAGCAAGTATCTAACAATCATGGTCTCCCACCACATATAACCTGAATATAATGACGACTCCTCGAATTCACGATGGACTCTATAACTAGTGTATGGTGTCCATATTACATCATCTACAATATGCGCATCGAGCCTCCTTCTGTACTCAACAACACCACCGAGGTGTGCCTGCCTGGCCTTCCATATCTTCGCCCATGAGGACCCCACCTTGCAATGCTCTACCCTCCAATCACAGATGATGGGGAAATGCTCGCATATCTAGCATCGGTATCAAAATAGAAACACAACAAATAATAAATAAGAAATGTTATTCGTAACAATTAAATAAGAAATTAACAACAAATAATAACTTCAAGTATACTTGTAACTGACTCAAATAACCAGCAAGTTGTCTGGTCTCAAAGACCGTTGCCACTCAAAGAGTTGTATACAAAGGGGATAACATAATACACCCCAAGCCCAACCGGTATCGTCGAGACAACTGAAGAGGCACGTGTATCAGACATTGATATAAACACCAGACTTGTCTTCAAAGAGAGTACATGTTATTATATGTAGCATGTACGCCCTAACAACAACCTCATACCTCCCAGTAACTACAAGCTGATCATGTGTCTTCCGAAGCCAAGACATATGAAGATGCGTACCCTTGGTCTCACCAAACTCCTTCTGCACCTTCGCCTCAGACAATCCCAAATCTCGTGCAACAACCTGACATGTAAGGGTCATGCTAAGAACGAGAGCCGTCAAGAATCTTCTGCCGATGGGGATATGGAACAATGCAGAGACATCATTCAGAGTGATAGTCATCTCCCAAAATGGAAGATGAAATGATAATGTCTCATTGTGCCACCTCTCAACAAACACACTGAGTAATGAAGCATCGAGCATGGCGAGGAGCAGTGGGAAAAATCAAGAAGCTGGAAGTCCCATATAATCCGAGTGACTTGTTCAGGCATCCGAATCTTCAGTAAGTCCTTCATCTTTAATCTGTGCGATGTCACCTTCAGTGTGAGTCGCTCATGTGACAACAAAATATAAACAAATTAGTTGATACCTCATGTGACAAACATATATAAACAAAAATTAAAGTTAAACATAAAAGACATATACCTCGCCTTGCCATAATTGTAAGGCCACCTGCTCAGCATACTCTATAAGCACCGACCGGTCGATGGATCCCTTAGGGAATCCTCCATCCGTGTGCATATAGGGCTCAGTCGAAAGAGGCGTAACCTTCATGTCAGCAGTAATCAATGAAATCGACTCAACAACAACAACATCTGGCTGTACCACTCAGCAGCCTCCTTCGAACCAACCTCATCAGCAACTGGATCAACCACCAACTCAACAACTGTATCAACAACCTGATCAACAACCTGATCAACCACCAGATGATCCACAAGATCAGATACAACAACATATGGAACCACCTTATCTGTAGACTGCTCTATTGATCGAACATGTCGGCGTCGAGTGCAACAAGGTGCTCAGAACTGACCCTGCTCAGCTAACCGCTTCTGATGTGAATCGATTGGGGCCATTCGTCCTTCTTGTAATTGGGAAGACTCAGCATTATCACCCATGACAATCCTAATCTGATCTGCCGCTCGATCAACAACTCTCCCTACAATAATGTCGTCTTTGCCTCTAGATTTCACTATAAAAGAAGAAAAAACCAAAACGAAAAAAAATATTGGTAACTACCGAAAATTTCAAAATTTCCAGTACAAGTACAAAACAAAGTTTCAGCACTTACAGGATATTTCAAATTTTCTGATATCAAAACCATGAAATATACTAGAAATTTCAGAATTTCGGTACAAAACCAGGTTTTTATAACTACCAGAAATTTTGAAATTTCTGGTATAAAAAATGAGATATGTACCTAATTTTTGAAAATTTCTGGTATACAATTCAATGTAAACACCAGAAAATTTGAAATTTTGGTACATATTTCAAGGTAAATGCAAAAAAAGTTGAAATTTCCGATAATAAAACTCATTGTTTTTGAAATTTTCGATTGCTGCACAAAATTTCCGTTATCGCTCCACAAATTCCAAATTTTTGTCCTAAAACTGTAAATCTTGAAATTTTTAAAAATGTATTTGCAGAGTCATTATTGTCTTTTCATACACATTTGGGAGTGCCAAGTATAACTTGGGGTGTCAGATTAAATCCTCAAAATTTTCACATATTGTATTGGGCCCAAAAACTAGACATCCTATAAAGCCGGCCCAAAAAATGTTCAAAGGGGGAAAATCTAGACAAATTTGGCGCCATTTTCCCTTTATACTCGAAGCCCCTTTCTCGCACCTCCACCATTGGTGCTTCTCTCACTCCTTCTTCCTCAAAACCCTAGCTCGCAGCTTCACGCCAAATCTGAACTCCATTTCAATCCTTCGATGGCTTCAACTCCCAAGAAGTCACTTCACTCTCCTTCAAAATCCAAGCTCCGATCACAATTCTCACCTGTTGCAGCACCCGTTACTCCAAATTCCTTACCTGCACGTAGATCTACGCGCTTGAATTCACTCCTCACCGATTCTCCCCAAACTCCCAATCTCGTTGATGCATTCAACGAATCGCAAAATCAAGACGAAACTCCAAAAAGAGGGAGAAGAAATGGATATTGTACTGAACCTGCTGCAAAATCTCGTCTTGATTTTGATTTCTCTCGCAAAGGCAAAGTTTTAACTCGCAATAGTACGAGTAAACTAGAGAATGGAAAAGATACTATTCAATTTTTGAACAAGCGAGATAAGAAGAGTGAATCAGATGCAATTCCGTTTGCTCTACAATCGCCGGATAAACCGAAATCTGTGAAGAGGAAGAAGGAGAAGGAGGATGAGAAAACGGTTGAATTGTCGAAGAAGAGAAATGGGAAGGATAAGTCAGTTAAGGTTTTGTTTGCTCCGACATCGCCCGAACAATCGGAAACTAAGAAGAGGAAGAGGAATAATGAGGTTGAAAAAACGGTTGTTACCAAAGGTAAAGCTGCTGCGAGTAAAGGGGGGAAAATTGCGAAGGTGCAGTATTATAAAAAAGTTGTTTATGATGGTGGTGAGTTTGAAGTTGGGGATGATGTTTATGTGAAGAGGATAGATGATGCTACCTCTGACGAGGAAGATCCTGAAGTAGAGGAGTGTAAGTTGTGTTTTTGCATTGGAAATGAAATCATGATCGAATGCGATAGTTGTTTGGGTGGGTTTCATTTGAAATGCTTGAAGCCGCCTCTGAAGGATGTTCCTGAAGGGGATTGGATCTGTGGGATCTGTGAGGGTCGTAAGTTGGGTAAAAATGTTGATTTCCCAAAGCCTCCTGCGGGTAAGAAGCTAGCTAGGACAATGCGTCAGAAGCTTCATTCAAGTGATTTATGGGCTGCTCGTATTGAGAGGTATGGTAAATTTTATACAGCTCAATCATATATCTGTTTGCTGTTTTTTCTTTTATTATATAGTAACTATGTTGACATCGATTACGGGGTTTATTTACATCATTATTTTAATGTGAGCAGTATATGGAAAGACGTGGACGGCAGCTATTGGTGTCGGGTACGGTGGTATATGATCCCAGAGGAGACTTCTGTTGGACGACAGCCGCATAACTTGAGCAGGGAGCTATATCGAACCAATGATTCTTCAAACATTGAGGTGATCAATCTTACATGATTTGGTTGTTGTTTATTGTATTAACAAAGTGCTAGTATGATAAAGTGGTCTAGCTGTACTTCCAAACTGTCAATCAAATCAAATTGAACTTAACATGCTTAGTGACTAACCTTGATAATTTTGAAACATCTAGATAGCTTGAGTTTTCTTCTCCACAGTCAATAGTTCATTCTCAATTTAAGTCTCAATCTTACTCTGAAAAAAATACTCAAGGATGTGCGAAAAAACTACTGAACTAGAGTTTAATTGGGTAAACAGTAGCAGTCATTTATGGACTGATTGCTTACTTTTATAGATTAATTACATACTTGATTAGTTTGGCTAAGCATATCTACAATCACGTCTCTTCATATCAGTGTTGTTGATGGCGGGGGGGCTAAAATCCCGCCATACCATACCAGCCGCAAAGCGGCTCTGTATGGTGCATTATGGTGGAAAACCTCGCAATAGTAGCCGATATTTTCCATTGCAGCAATTCCAAAAACTGCCATGTATATCCGCCATGATGGATATTTGATTACACTGCTTCATATACCTCAACTTTTATATGCCTTAATGGTTCTTCTCAAACTTTAGCATCCTTGGGCTGGTTCACTTGTTTATGCTATTTTTCTCCTGATTTTTTTACCCTTTACATTCAATATAATCAGATACAATAAAAGGGGACTAGATTTCTAATAATGAAATAGTTTGTGTAGATTACACCTGTGTTATTAAATGAAATATAAAATTGCATCCTAGAATGTGGGGAATAACTACGTTGAAATTTAATCTCGAATATTGACAAGCTCACATTCGTTTTTCTTCTTTAAAAGAAGTAAATAACATTTTCCCAAAACCTTAGAATTGACATTTATCAATTCTTGGAAGAAGCCATTCATCATCTCTAGTAAAGGGGATCCTCTGAAGAGTTGAGAGACCCCAAGCCCCAAAAAAGTGAGTGAATCTTTAGGTAAGTGTTGAGCATTTCTTGTGTAGTGAGAATCACTCCTTACAACTTTTGAGCAAGGTGTCACAGCTTGTAGGATGAGTCATAATGCACAACTAATGGTGGCTTTTTCAAGTTTCATAGAATTTGTAATCTATTAGTTTGAAATATTAACTATTTTGTTGAAGGGTTTATGTGAATGTAGGCAAGAGACGCTATACAATGTAAATTCTATTCTTTGCGTGTGTGATTTTTTCTCAACATAAAATTGAACAGAACTTTTGGTGCTGTATTAGTATTTCTATAGTTGAATGCATAATGTTCAGAAGTAAGAACTTATCCTCCTTTTGCTCATCATGGTGCTTCTTTGTTCAATATAGATGGAATCTGTCCTTAGACATTGCTATGTCATGACCCCTAAGGAGTATGCCAAAGCTAGCAATGAGGGAGATGATGTTTTCTTGTGCGAATATGAGTATGACATTCATTGGCACAGTTTCAAGCGCTTGGCTGATATTGATGATGAAAGAGAGGTAACTTGTCTTAGAAAATCCATTTACAAAGGACCATTCTTCTCATAAAAGGATTTAACCATTTAGAGTGCTAATATTGATGAGTTTTTTCCACACATGTTCGAATGATGATAAGACTGATCATTTAACTGTACTAATACGGACAAGTTTATATTTTTACATGGTAGAATTCTGATGAGAGTGACAGTGACGAAGACTGGAACATCGGCAAGGAATCAGATTCTGATACAGATGAAGATGTTGAATATGAAGAGGAGAATCTTAAATTTGCACAATCTCAACTACCGACAAGCCATCAATTAGCTGCAGTATGAATATTATTGTTCACTTGTATTAGTTTGTATTGACTTTTTGTGTTCATGAGTACCTATGGAAAGTTAATATGTAAATGATACAGAATCTGCACAAGGGACGTTTCTTTGGACTTCAGAAGATAGGAACAAAAAGAATTCCAGAGCATATAAGGTCTCACAAACAGACTAATCTTGAAAGAGCAAAGGCTTCACTGTTGTTAGCTTCGCTGCCTAAATCGTTACCTTGTAGAAATAAGTATGTTGAAGTTTGAGCATAATTTTTAATATTTCATCTATCTGTATTAAGTTACTATTTCTAATCAAAACATACTTTAATTTAGAGAAATGGACGAGATAACAACATTCATTAAGGGTGCTATTTCAGACAATCAATGTCTGGGACGTTGCCTTTACATTCATGGTGTTCCGGGAACTGGCAAGGTACTATTTTCTAGAACTAACTGATTTTTAGTCTAATAAGTAATCCAGTGGGACTTTAAATCTTATTGCTTTACTCATTTTTTCCACGTGTAACTGCAGACAATGAGTGTACTCTCAGTGATGAGGAGTTTGAGGTCAGAAGTTGATGCAGGAAACATCAAACCGTACTGTTTTGTGGAGATTAATGGTCTGAAATTGGCTTCACCAGAGAATATTTATAAGGTAAAGTTCTAAAAAATTATACTGTTTTGGGTTTTATGACCACATTCCTTGGTTGTCTTATGCTTCCCACTTACAATACTGTTTTAGGTCATATACGAGGCTTTAAACGGACACAGGGTTGGATGGAAAGAGGCTCTCCGTTTGCTAAATGAGAGATTTGTTGAAGGGAAGAAAATTGAAGAAGAGGCTGATCGACCATGTATTTTGCTCATTGATGAACTTGATCTTCTTGTAACCAGAAATCAGTCGGTAAGCAACATATCCTGTTGTAAGAAACTTGTAATTAGGTCCGCATTCTTTATTTTATGGAACTGGATTGCTGACTTTCCTTTTATCACAGGTTCTGTACAATATCCTTGACTGGCCTACCAAGCCACATTCCAAGCTAATTGTGATAGGTAAGATTTAAGCTCTTGTGAATTAATACAAAATTATGGTCTTCCAGTCTAAACATATGTAATATCAAATAGTGGGATCAATCACAAGAATTCATATAATTATAACTACAGTGCCTATGTGGACTGCAAAAACTTATTCTTTTGTAATAATATAATGAATTCAGGAATAGCAAATACAATGGATCTTCCAGAGAAGTTACTTCCTCGTATATCAAGCCGAATGGGCATCCAAAGGCTTTGCTTTGCTCCATATAATTATCAGCAGCTTCAAGAAATCATTTCGAGTCGCCTCAATGGAATTGATATATTTGAAAAACAAGCTATGGAATTTGCTTCAAGAAAGTTTAGTCTCCCAATCATTTTAAGATTGCTTCCTTTAATCTTTTAAGCACAATGGACACATCTTTTGGAAATAGCGTGTTGATTTACTATTGACATGATCTTTAAATATTCAGGTTGCAGCTATCTCGGGAGATGCACGTCGTGCTTTGGAAATTTGTAGACGTGCAGCTGAAATTGCTGATTATCGTATTAAGAAGCTAGCTTCAAATCCTGATAATGTTGCTGCAGGTATATCACGTGAACAAGCTCTATTTTACATGTTATCATAGTAGAAATGGGGACCATATAATCTTTTCTACTTGTTAAATAAATTTTGCATCATGTTCTAAATGGCATGTTCTCTATTTACATGTTGCCATTTAGTTACCCGTGCCTTCACAAAAGTGTCATTTGATTTTACACAAACAATTAGTGTGTATATTAAAAAGCATGCGTAGACTAAAGTCACATATACAAATAAACTAAAGATAAGCAAGCAAGTCATGCAAGTCTTCTCCTGCATAAACAACCCGATTACTCAAGAACAAAACAATTATTCTTTTCCAAAATTTATAATATTTTAGGATCTAAGACCAAACTTCATATTGTGATGTTTTGTTTCATCTACAATATGCTTGAAGCTTGGTCTTGTAAATTCACTGTTCTCTTTAATTCTAATGTGTGCATCAATAAAATGAATTCTATGTCACTTGGTAGTGGCAGGAACTAAACTGATTCTCCGTGTTTTTTTTATAGAAAATCAAATATTCAACTTTTTGCCTACCCTTAAGTGTAATTACTATCATCATACTCATGTTATTTGTAGTAGATGCTTTATGCCATCCAAGCTTTAGTGATCTTGCACTAGTAGTTGGCATCTAGTTGCCATCCAAGCAATGACAATAGACACTGCTCACGAGGTTAACATTGTCTTTGGGAGCTTCAAACCTATCACTTGCAGCAGCAGATGATTGCTGCTTCAATAGGATGACATGACACTAGAATAAGATTATTGGGAGTTTCAATCCACAATTGAGTTGGGAAACCTTAAAGTGATCCTTAGGGGATCAATATAGAGACTAGCAATCTAGAATCCATTTTCTTAACAGAAACTACTTGGACATTTAAAAATGTTGGACGAGCATGTGGAATTGTTTGCGGTTCTCATGGCTCAAGTAACACCAATGTTTGAAGGTCAATATATGCACTTTTATCTTAAGGGGTCGAAGAAGAGATCATGATGGAGGTCCAAGCACTTAAGCCACCCAATCGTCACAAATTGATTTTAATGGCACATGCAATTGTGTAGAAATTGAATCATATCCTCACTCAAAAGTGTCCACAAGTTAGTGTCACCCTTTGCTTAAGGACCATTTCACAACACAATCGAATGACATGGCGTTGCAAAAACCACTCTAAGGGGGATGGGGTCCAAAACAGCCTTGGCACAATCTAATAGATCCGTGAGTCAAGTTAGCGCCATCCTCAGTGTTGTAGTCTAAGTCATTGCTGTCCTCTGTAGAACCTTGTGGCTCCTAATATGGGGTTATGAGGAAACAAACGAAGAGTCGTTTATCGAGGAGTCTGAAGTACACACTAAATATCCTAAGACATTTAAACTAGCGAGAGTCTTAGAAAGGTATACATTCTACTCTTAGTGGATTGTGGAGCTAATAATAATTTTATGCCCAAGGAGTTGGTTAGTTCATTATGACTGGAAGTAACCTGCAAGAAGAATATGTAGCGAGCCTTGGAAATGGCAACTGATGCGTATCACAGGAGTTTGCAAGGAGTTGGAGGTGCAAATGAAAAGGTATACAATTGTAGTTGATGTGTATGTGTTGGACTTGAAAGTTAGACTCCATATTCAATTTTCATCAAATAAAAGTCAAAGACAATACCTATTAAGATAGTTTAGGAAGAAAACCCCTTCCACCTTCCAATCCACCACGAGTTCAATGTTTCGCCATTTCTTATGGTGTGTTTTGGTGATCTTTGATGATAATCTAGTTTGTAGCCCTACTCAAAATCTACACCTAGCTCACTTGGATGAAGTCTGATTCTTGTCTCAGAAGTAGTTTGTGGTTAGTCCAAAGAAATATCTTTTTGGACAAACTTCTATTGAATACTTTGGACACATTATTCAGCCAAAAAGGTTGAGAAAGATCCCACCAAAATTGAGGTGGTCTCGATTGGCCAACATCTAGAGATGTAAAAGCAAAGAGAAGTTTTTCGGGTCTAAATTAATATTATCGAAGGGCCAACAACTGAAGATAAGTTCGTATATGCAAAATATATTATGGCATTGGTATTGATAATCCAACATTGGCAACATTACTTAATGTGGAGAAACAATGTTTTTAGTGATCATAAGAGTCTTAAACACCTACTCCGACAAAGGGTCATAACTACAAACCAACAACAATGGCTTTCCAAGGTAATGGGATACCAATTCAAGGTCATCTAAATGCCCGGTCTAGAAATGAGGCTGTTGATTTGTTTTCTTCCCATGAAGCTATTCTAGAAGTCAATACTGCTAAGAGTTCTACATTGGATGGGATATGTCTGAACATAAGTTATAAGCAGAGACAATCCTCATCTTACTAACTGGTTTTGTAAATGTTAAGTTATGCCTAATCCAAATTCTAAGGTGGTATCAATGCCTATCCAAAACTCGTTTGGTCACGTGCTCTCTTGTCCCGCCATCGAGCCACTCATGTCATTCATATTGTTCAATTTTGGGTGTGAGGGTGTGTGTTGAGTCCCTCCCACATTGGATGAGATATGATATGAACTTAAGTTTATATATGGAGACAATCCCCACGTTACAAAGTAGTTTTGTAAAGGTTGAGTTAGACTCAATCCAAATTCTAGAATGTATTATTGTGATAAGTCTATATTGGGTAGACGTTCCCAAGAAGCACACTGAATTACATCAATGTTGTTATTATCCAAACAATAGGATTTTCTTTAGAAGACAAGGCTTCTAATGCTAAACCAATATGCTGTGCGAGAGTGGCTGGTGGTTTTCAAGGGTCGGTTCGTATTATTCAAACAATCCACCCTTATTCCAACATTGTTGGCTGAACTCCAACCCCTCCCTGTGGGAGGCTGCTGATGTTTGACTAATACCTTCAAGGGGCAAGCAACATGCCTCTTTTGAACTGGAATGCAGAAACGCATAATGTAGTTTATACGTGTTTGGGAAGTGTGTCAGAAGAACAAGTATCAAACTCTTTGGGTATTCTAGTGGTTAGTATTTGTGCGGTAGTTTATTCGTGCAAGTAATCTTGTCGAATCATTGGGTTGGGTATTATAGTGGTTAGCGTTTTGTACTATAAATTCAGCCATTCAGGGCATACAATGCTAACATGTGATATATTGAAAGTGCCACCACTAAGTTTTTTTCCTTTAAGTGTCTAAATTTATATAATCAGTAAATAAAAGTTCATTATTATATGAACTAATCAAACCAAATTATATAATTATCATAACCTCAATCTTTAGATGGCCCTAATGTTCCTATACTAAACTACCAATAGGTGACTTAAATTCCTACCAGATTGAATTCTAGCCCAAAGCTGAATAACTCCCACATTACCAAAATATAATATCAGGCCTCTTGAGCGCTTCACCTGATTTCCCCTAGAGTCGCTTCACATTTAGCTATATCTATTACTTCAGGAGAAAGTTACATATATCAATATCAATTAATTGAATACACCTGTTGTTCCACAACAATTATCATAAAATCATGAAAAACATGTCAACCATAATTTTTTGGTCTTTTTCCATATTAATTATTCCGCTGTTACCTATGTGTGCAGGCCTGATATTATTTTAAAAATCAGAAATATTTCATCTATTGTCTTTTATAGTGGAATGTTTTCAGCACATGTTAATATGCACTAGGCATCACTTGTATGCGCAAATGCTTTATGTCTGAGTTAGTGCTTAGCTCACTAATTCATTTGTGTCTGCTCTCTAGGAAAGGGACTTGTTAGCATGGCAGACGTTGAAGCAGCCATTCAAGAAATGTTCCAAGCACCACATATTCAAGTGAGTTGAAATTTGCCGTGGGCTTATTCTTTTCCTAGACATTTCAAATATTTTATTTCCCCAAATCTTTTAAGACTCCTAATGAGTCTTGACCGTGAACCAAGTCATGAGATGTAAAGTTATTTACAAGATACATTTAGTATAAATATTTCCGCTGTAACTATGATATCCACTTTTTTAAAAAGCAAAAGTGAGAGGTTTCTTTAACTGAGGAGCATACCATGAACAGAGGCTTTATTATGTATATGGCCTTAGCATTAGTAATTATGAAAGAAAGAACATGCATGTTATTTTTGTTTATTGGATGTGATGGCTAATCTTGTGGACCAGTGATTATAGAGCATAGTTAATAAGTTAAATTTGAAATTGGTGGTAACCCTTTACATATAAACCTCATTTTTATAGCAAACTCCATGACATTACATTGGATAGATTCAGAAGCACCTTTGATCATTCATTTACCTGGCAGACTAGACTAGCTAATGTTTTATTTTAGTCTCACATAATATAAATCTTTTTTCATTTTGAAGGTGATGAAAAACTGTTCCAGACTTAGCAAAATTTTCCTGACAGCTATGGTGCACGAGCTTTACAAAACAGGAATGGGGGAAACCACTTTTGAAAAGGTCTGCTTCCGAAGCTTCTTTCTGTTAACTTATTTTATTCTCATTTCACATTCAGACCATACATTAAGTTTTCTACCTTTACATTGAAGAGGTGAAATATGCTTACAACCTTAGTCCCCGCTTCTTTTCAGTTTAATAGCACTACCTGATGTTTTTTATGCTTGCAAATGACTCTATATTATATTTCTAGGTGAACTTAGAGGTTTTATATTCTGGTGTTGATTTTCTACTAGAAAAGCTGTTAGTTAGGAGGTTAATGTAAATTTGTTTAAGTGCTCTTATGCAAGGTTTCATTTTAACAATGTAGTTGGCAATGACGGTTTCATGTCTCTGTACCAGCAATGGAGAAGTGTTTCCTGGATATGATATCCTCCTGCAAGTTGGGTAAGACATATGTTTGTTTCCTGCATGTTTCTAGAAGGGAAAACAGGGGAAGGGAAGGGGTTGTCTTGCTTTGTACTCAAATACAAGTAACAGACTGTTTAAATGCTAAGTGCACGAACCATCCTAGTTGCATGTCTATTTTATCTAAGAAGCCCTTGTTCCAATTTTTGCAGCTGTAAGCTGGGGGAATGCAGGGTTATTTTGTGCGAAGCAGGTGCCAGGCACAGGTTGCAAAAGTTGCAGCTCAATTTCCCAAGGTTATTTCTCAAAGCCCTTATTACTTCTTCAGCTACTTGTAATGAAACAAACTAATGATGGGATTATGATGAGAATCTTTTAAGTTCAATAAACCAAATCAATCATCATTTTCCTTTAGTTTTGATCTTACTTTGCATTCATCGGATCCTCATCTATTATAAAAAAAGCAACCCTTATGGAGTTACACTAAAGTTAAGTGAGTATTTAGTAGTTTGGCGAGTCTGTAGATAGATAAGTGCATACACTAAAGTAAGGCACAGCCAGAATAAGTAACGAGTTTCATTTGGAGTACAAATCAATAGTACATCCGGTAGCATTGCTGGAATATGAAAACACTAATCCAGATGACAAATGGAACAGTTTTTTTCCTCCCTGGGTAGTATAGCCTTTTTTATTAAACAAAACAGAAAATGTCCAAAGACGTAAGGTTACAGATACGATCACTGATCACCAGGCTCAATCTGTATAATAAGTTTGGGAATGTGAATGCAATCCTTGCTAATTCATGACTAGTTATGTTCACATCTTGCTGTCTCCTTTAACACCATAAAAGATAAAAGTCTGAAAGTTGTGGAATATGAAATTTGTTCATTCCTCAACTTGTTCTTTTCAATATTGAAATTTTACCCATACTTATGTGTCGCTAGTGAATGTAATTCCATTAATTTGACTGGTTTCATTCTACTTTATGACAGTGATGATGTAGCCTTTTCTCTGAGAGACTGCAAAGACCTACCTTGGTTGTCCAAATATCTAATGTAGGAAGGGGAATTTGATGCTGTTCTTAAAGAACATTTTTTATTCAATTTTTTAATGACTTGCACAATTGCTACCAATGCCGGCACTATAACGAATATAGGTGTCTGCAAGCACTGTTGTAAGTTGGGTCCTGGGCAGTTCGTCTATGTATTACACCTGTATTAGACCTTGTATTGTTACCTGTTGCAGCCCACATTAGAGGCGCATCTCAGCCACACTATTAAGACATTTTTGTATCTTTCTCATATCAGAATTAATAATACAGTTCATTATTTAAATTCTCAGTTTTTCCTTTTCTCCCTGGTTTAATTTTTAAAGGGTGTTTTGAAATAATTGATGCTACCGCATATGTTCTATGAAAAAGGAGGCATTTACTTGTTTTGTTAAATTATTTCAGAAACAAGACTAGACCAAAAACTAGATGTGAATCATAAGGGGCGAAGACTAAGCCAAAAACTATAAGTGAATAATAAGGGGTGGAAGTAACCTTGAGTGCTGTTAGAAGTTGCATGTTTGAATTATAGTTTGCAAGAAGTTGCATGTTTGAATTATAGTTTGCAATTTTTGTTTAACATAATTAGTTTAGTTATTGTATTAGTTATATTGATTTATTGTTATGTGTATTTCCATAGTTGGTTTGTTATAACCACCATTTCTTATTTTATGGATTTTGTTTTTGTTATGAACAATCCTATATTTGAGTTCCACTTGAGAAAAAGAAATATACTTTTTGTTCTTATCGGATCAGAAAGAGGATTAACAGTCAGGAACATGTCGTGAATTTCAAGTTCGCCGGTAGTGGAGAAGAGGAGGGGGATGTACTTGCAAGACACTTCGATGCTAAAGTAAGAAATGTAGCACAGAGAGAGCAAGTACAAAAAAAGTGGATGAGTTAGAATACCTGACCCTCCTGTGGAGGAGGGTATTTATAACGTGCCCCAACGCTGAGCCAACGGTCATCTACTTTGAGTTGAATTGCAAGATCTAGAACAGATGATTGCCAAGATCTTACGTGGCGGCAGGGAAGACCCGCGTGTGGTCTTAGTCCTGAATCAACTGTCCCATGAATTTCGGGGAGTGGAAGACTAGCTCTTTCGGATGTGGATAGTTGGCTGATGACATGTTCCAGCGTGAGGAACACGTGGAGAGCGTGTGCGGTGTGTGACCTCTAACGGCTATGCAAGCTTGGACCTGTGTTGGGCCCTCCCCGACGTAATGCTGGGTTGGGCCAGCTATAGGCCTAGTCTAGAACAGGAGCCTCCTAAGTTGTTGTTCCTCTGTCAAGGGGCAATGACTTAGAGCTAGCCCGTATGTCGGGGATGAAGGAGATTGTGCGCGGAGAGTGATTGTATCTGCTTGTGGTTATGAGCTTATGTTTGATGCCGACGATGTAGTTATGGACGTTTATTTGTCGGGCAGACACGACAATCAAAAGTTGGCTTGTGCTTGCTAATTTATCTCGATTTTTCTTCGAGGACATGCTCGCGAGAGAGCGTTCAAAATTGAAAAATGTGGTCATTTTCATGAGTTAGTTTTGAACAACTTCTTTCATGATCAATTTTCTTGATTCTCCAAGCATCAACTCAATTTGTTTCCAACATAAAATTTGTTCCTTATGGTCTTGCCTTTAATTTGATTACAAATTTCACCCCTGTAGATGTTTTTGATTGGCTGCATTTTGTGGTAAAACATTGATGTATGTGTGAATGTCATGACTGATGTTATGACATACATAATAAGTGTGCTGCAGGGTAAGTTTGGATAGTTAAGAGCAAAGTATGTTGGATGTCATGCTGGATGTTATGACATCAAGCAACTGACATTAGGGCGCATGTTTTAGGTTCTAGTATAGTGCATGAGGAAGCTCAGGCTATACTTCAGGAAACTTTTTAGGAAGCTTGGTTATCTCAGACGAAATGCCAGACATGGCTGAGGATAACCTAGGACCAAACTGTTAGTGCGCAACTTAATGAAAAGAGGTCTTAACTGGGTTAAATCTAATTTCTGCACTGCACTAAGACCCAAGATCTTTCTGCTGCTTATAAATAACAAAGTAGCAATCCTAATTGAAGACAGTTCTTGGCAGGTCATGGGCAGAGCTTTTGAGACAGAGAGTACAGAGTGTTTGTAAATGAAGAATTCAGTCTGTGTACTGTGATCTTCACGTGGTTGTTTGTGTCTTAGGATTACTTGTGAGCCAAACAATTATCTCTTGGATGATTGCATTGGACTAGTGTGTTTTGAGCTGTACTCTGTGTGTGTCACTCTAAGCTTTTAAGCACGAGTGCTGTGTCTCTTGATCAAAGCTGTGAAACAGATCAAGGTGTGTTTGAAGTGTGACTTCAATTGTACCTGTAACTGAATTGGTTGATATCATTGTTGTGATTGAGGGGGAGTGAGTAGGAACTCAGGTCTAGTGTTAGGCTGAAGTGTCACTGGGTATGTCTTAAGTGAAGAGTGCAAACTGGGTGTTTGACTCTGAATTAGTTCTACTAAGAGTGAATTTCCTCCCTGCCTTGGTAGCCCTCATATGTATGTGTGATTTGCACTGAACCGGGTCAACAATTCTCTGTGTTATTTACTGCTTTCAATTCCTGTTTATTGTTAATTTCTGTAGTCTACTCAGTAGTGGATGCCATAACATCCACTGTAACATCGACTGTTTGATACCTAGAATTTCAATTGGCATCAAAGCAGGCACCCTGCCTGTTATTTTCTGGGTGAGATATAGGGAAGATAAATTCTGGTACTATTAACAAGGATATAGGATTCACAAATAGACCACGATTTCTGGATGACTCTAACTATGACTACTGGAAACCTCGTATGGTAGCTTTCTTAAGGTCTCTGGATAGGAAGGCTTGGAGAGCAGCTAATTCAGGATGGGAACATCCAGTGAAAACAAACAAAGATGGAGCAACTGTGCTAATCCCTGAAGAAGAGTGGAGCAAAGAGCAAGAAGCCTTGACTATTGGGAATTCTAAGGCCTTGAATGCTCTATTCAATGGAATAAACAAGAACATTTTCAGACTTGTGCATCACTGTGAACTGACCAAAGAGGTTTGGGATACCCTCAAAACAACTCATGAAGGTACCTCTAAGGTCAAGATGTCAAGATTACAAATGCTGACCACTAAGTTTGAAAATCTGAGAATGAAGGAGGATGAGACTATTCATGAATTCTACATGAATATTCTTGAAATTCCCAATACCTCAGGAGCTTTAGGAGAAAAGATGTCTGTAGAAAAGCTTGTAAGGAAGATTCTCAGATCATTGCCCAAAAAGTTTGCCATGAAGGTTACTGCTATTGAAGAGGCTCAGGATATAAGCAACATGAAGGTTGATGAACTCATTGGTTCTCTCCAAACCTTTGAGATGAGTATGTGTGATCATGCTGAGAAGAAGAACAAAAGCATAACTTTTGTTTCAAACACTGCAGATGACTCAGAGGAAGACAATGGTGAAAGGGAGGAGAATCTGTCAGAAGCTATAGTCTTGCTTGGAAGACAATTTAACCAACTGATCAAAAGAATAGATCATATGTCTAGATCTAATGTCAAGAACACTTCTTCTGACATCAGTAGAAGAGGTAAATATGAAGATAAGTCTAACAAAGGCAAAGGAATTCGGTGCCATGAATGTGAAGGATATGGTCACATTAAAGCTGAATGTCTCACTTACCTCAAGAAGCAGAAGAAAGGACTAAGTGTCACTTGGTCAGATGGAGATTCTGAGAGTGGTTCAGAAGAAGAGTCTGCAAAACATGTCACTGAACTAAATAATGTATGTGTATCTGATGATGATTCTAGTGAAGATGAGCTGACTTTTGATGAGCTTGCATCTTCATATAAAAATGTATGCATCAGAAGTGCATAAATTTATCAACAAGGGGAGCATCAGAGGAAACTCGTAAGGGAGTTAGAGGCTGAGAAGATAGAGCATCTTGCAACAATAGACTCACTTAACAGTGAGGTTAGCTTGTTGAATTCTAAACTTGATCAGATGTCAAAATCAATTAGGATGTTAAACAATGGGACTGACACTCTAGAAGAAATTCTACAAAGTGGTCAGAAAGTATGAGACATGTCTGGACTAGGATTTGTTGGTAAACAAGAACCCATTTTGGGTTACAAGAGGCCAAAGGTTGAAAATCAGAGGCCAAACCGGATGTCACGAACAATGTCACAACATCAGGGAATCAGAAGCAGGAACCAAACCAAGAAAAAATTTCAAAGGCATATGTGTTACTACTGTGGAAGATTTGGGCACATAAAGGCTTTTTGCTTCAGGCTGCATGGATTTCCCAGCCACATGCACCAAGTCAAATCCAAACAGGTTGCTCCTATCAAGAAACGACAATGGGTTGCTAAGAATGTGGCTCTAGTAGCTCATACTTCGATAAGGATGCCAACCAAAGAAGACTGATATTTTGACAGTGGATGTTCTAGACATATGGCTGAAATAGAGAACCTTTTGGTGAACATCAAACCTCATTCCTCAAGTCATGTAACCTTTGGTGATGGAGCTAGAGGAGAAATCAAAGGTGCTGGAAAACTAGACTGTCTTGGTGTTCCAGAACTGGATAATGTCATGTTAGTTAAAGGACTGACTGTAAATCTTATCAGTATCAGTCAGCTCTATGACCAAGGTCTCAGTGTCAAATTCACTAAGGGTGAATGTGTTGTCACCAATAGAGAAGATGAGGAAGTCATGAGGGGATCTGGAGCTAAGAATAACTGTTATTTATGGGAGCCAAAAAATAACTACAAAGTCTTGATCAAGGAAGAAAAGGAGGATCAACTATGGCATAAAACAGGTAGACATCTTCAAAGAATAAAGAAGACCACATCTAAGGAAACAGTAAGAGGAACTCCAAAGTTAACTCTAGATGGAAGAACAGGCTGTGGTAAATGTCAGGATGACAGGCAAGCAAAGACAACACTTCCAAAGAATGGACATCATAGAAGTCTAGATCTGTACTTATAATGGAAGTTGACGGAGTC